TAACTCCAGTGGTAGATAAGATTAGAGAGAGTTGCTTTAGATGGTTTGGTCACATAAAACTTCGTCCTTCGATTACCCAGTTAGGAGAGTAGATGTATTAGATTTGGCTTATGTTAAGAAAGGTAGAGGTAGACCTAAGAAGACTTGGTTATAAAATATTAAAAATGAGATTTATTTATTAGATTTAAATGAGAATTTGACTCTTAATATGGCACAATGGAGAAAAAAAAATCATTTAGCCGACCCCACATAGTTGGATAAAGACTTGTTGTTGTTGTTGTTAAGAATGCATATTTTCTGATTTTAAAATGGTTTGAAATTAGTTTTTTTCTTTTTTCTATTATCCATTAAGGCTATGTGAAAATTGATTATATATATATATATATATTATTTGAATTATTTATGAATTTTTTAAAATACTAATTCCACAGTATTATCCATCAAGTCTTTTGAAATGTGTCTTTATTCTTAGAGATTGAAGTTGTGGATATTGATGCTCATTGTCAATCATAAATGCTTCTTTCAATGGTAATAGAAGTGGTTTGCTTGTTGATTCCCCCTAGTAATGACAAAAGTCATGAACTTGATCTTCAAATGTGTGATGGATATGACAATATTGTAGATCAATTGAGATGCCTGTTAAATATTGCATTATAGGTAATTCAAATTTGACCGTCATTAATCCAATCATATGCTTGATAACGGAATTACTTGAGTATAACATCTAGCTTAATGCTTCCTTTTACTTTAACGGGGTTGCATGCCTAGTCTTATTGAGAACTTTGTTGTTGTTGCGAAGGTCGAGGAGAGACCTTAGATGACTTCTACATTTTTTACTGTGTTCACTGGATTATTTCCTCCCGGGTATTATTTGCCAATGGGATTGAAATGCTTCCATTGGGTATTGATGGCTTTATTGGTAATGATCTATGCCAAAACATTACATTACATGATCATCATAGGAGTTGGACAACTTTCGCATTAGGGCAATATAAATTGACTAGCCAAATATAGAACCAACCTAAAATGTTTGAGGCGAAAGTTCTTAGAGAGTGGGATTGAAATGTGTTCTCCAGTAGGAGAGTGAGTCATTTGTCATGTGTCTTTATTCTAAGAGGTTGAAGTTGTCCATGCCATGGTTGCATCTTCCAATGGTAATACGATTGTTTCTCTAGTTGGTTCCCCCTAGTAATGCAGAAGTCATAAAGTTGATCTTCAAGTGTGTGATGGATGTGATAATGTTGATGATCAATTAGAGGGGCCTATCAAATATTAAATTATAGGCAATTCAAACTTACAATTCAAATTTGACCATCCTGAATTGAATCATATGCTTGACAAAAGAATTACTTGAGTATAATATCAAACGTAATGCTTCCTTTTACCCTAATGGGGTGGTTGTTGAACTTTTAAAATGAATCAACGATCAACTGGGATTTGTTGTTGTTGCAAAGGTTTAGGAGGAAGACCATAGTCCTTAAGTGACTTCTATTTTCCTTGCAGTGTTTACTGGATTATTTTTTCCTAGGTATCGTTTGCCAATGGGATGATCGAAATGCTTCCAGTGGATATTGTTGGCTTTATTGGTGATGATCTATGCCAAAATAATACATTACAAGATCATCATAGGAGCTCAACATCTTTGACATTAATGCAATATAAAATTGGCTAGCCAAATATGGAACCTATCTAAAATGTTTGAGGCAAAAGTTCTTAGAGGGTGGGATGGAAATGAGGTTTCCAAAAGTTGTAAACTTGATCTTCAAGTATGTGATGGATGCAATAATGTTGAAGATTAATTAGAAGGGTCTGACAAATATTGCATTGTAGCAACTTAAATTTGACCATCATAATTGATTCATATGTTTGACAAGAGACTTAATTAATTATAAGATCTAGCGTGATGCTTCCTTTTACTTAACGAGGTGTTGTTGAACTTTTAAAAGGAAGCAATGTTTAGCTGGAATTCTCTTTTGCTAGGCCTAAGTTTAGAAATATGCAGTAAAAGGAGGAAATCGATAGAACTCTATTTATCAATTAGGATCCTTTTGACTTTGAAGCATGGCTCTTTGCTCCCAACATTAATTATAAGTTAATCCTGTTGTAGTTTTGCTCCACCATGAATTTGTAGTTGTCAAACGTGATTGTGTCAATCCCCAATTCTTTAAACATTGAATTTTCAAAAGAAGTAATGAGGACTTTGCTTAAAAGTTGCGGTCCACCAATGATATTCTCAACTTCGCCCAATATTTAGCTATTGTTGTATTGTCTTTTAGGCTTGCCCCCATGTGAGGCATGTGTTGGTATGAGCATGCAAACATTGGAGAAAAAGGTGAAGGTACTTCTAATCATTCTCTAAATTTTATTTTTTTAGTTGGTTGTATGATTATATATTGTGTTTGCAACTTTGAAGGAGATGACAATACTAGTTTCGATTATTTGTATTTGGCTTAAGGGTGTAGGACCACTTAATGCTCTTGTTATTGTAAAAGATAATCAAAAGATTTACATAGTGTAGTGAATTCCCACTCTGTTGAGAATTTTGTTGTTGTTGTTGGGGTTTGGGAGGAAGATCATGATCCTTAGGTGGCTTCTACTACTAGATGATTTCCTTATGAGTAGTGTTTGCTTTGCCAATGGGTAATCGAAGTTCTTTGAATAGATATTGATGGCCTTTTTGGCGGAGATCTATGCCTCAATATTATAGAGGAGATCATCATGAGAGCGGAGCGCACTGTCTTTATAAAACTATCAAAGGCAAAGTCTAAGGAACAACCCCAGGGTCAAGTGGAGAACATAACCTATGAAAGTATTTCTTTAGGGACCCCATTTTGGCAAATGCCAAAAAAATGAACTTGTCAACTAAGAGTTAGGCTAATTTGACGAAGGTATTGATGAACCCACACATTAGGGAGTATAATCATGTCCAATCTCAACCCTTGAGAATGGCAGGGAAAGACCCATCAAAAGAGTACATCAGAGGCACATTGGATGTGTAGATTATTTTATAGTGGTCGGTGGCCAACGTAGTCATAAGGGTTGGAAAATCCATTATACAAATAGATGGTTGGTATTTTGAATCCTATGATATGAGTTGTCGAAGGATGGTATTATTGAGTGGTGAGGAGGAAGATCAATTAGGGATAATGTATATAGCCTATCTCATAAGAGTTCTATATAAACCAAGCGATGCAAGTCGCCAAAGAACATTTCTAGGGATGCTATTAATGTGTGGTAGGGGTAGATTTGGCATTATTATCATGGGTTGTGAGCTGGAAGTGCTAGTCGAATCAGGTGAGTCAAGATAACATTGTTTAGCTTATAGGTGGATGAATCTTGGCCTGATAGTGAGAGGTTGTTGCACCGACATTTTTCAACCGTCATAGAGATATGAAGCACTAAAAGTTTGGCATGATAGTCCTGATTGGTGGAATTCACTTGGAAGATGAAGGGTCTCATCTTGGGATAACTTCATGTTATTGGATGCTATCTTCTAAGGAGGGATAAATATTTATATGTATGAATCATTTAAGACTAGGCAAGGTATGTTATGATTTGAGGCCAACGAGAGTATTGCAACTAATAAGCTGAACCAATTGTGGGCGGCCCTTGCCTACCCTAAGTCAGGTGCTTGATGAGATCTACTTGAGGAAGAATAGGGAGGGTTGGTCTATCCCCTATACCAAATCATATTTGTTGGATTTGGTATTGTTAGAATATTCATGAGTAGATAATCGTTTTGATTATTAATTTGTAATATTTTGAATATATTTGATAGTTAATTTTTAGATTGTATATATATATATATATATTGATCTGTTATATGTTGATCAAGTTTGATGAATAAAATTGTTTCAAACAAGTATGAAAAGTAACAAAATTTCATCTAATTTATCCTAGCACTTAATTTATATTAACCAAATGCAAGTGATAATCTAGAAAATTATCTAAATTACTCTAATATAATTGTTGCAAGCTAGAAATTTCACAACGGTAGAATGAGAGAGTTTTGTGTCCTAGCTTTATACAAAGATTCAATACACAAACAACTAAATGAAAGTGCATGTAGAAAATGGGGAGGTCCAAGATTCTTCAAGCATCTTAAGTTCTCTTGAATCTCTATTTAAGGGTCCCTTTCATGTAGAAAATGGGGACCTACTTATAAATTTTTGATAGTGGCATGTCTCATAAATATAGAGAAAATCTCGAACATTTCATCAGACATTCTATATTGATTCCCTTGATTTGAATCGTTTGCTCGACATTTAAGTACCTTAATAATGTTGGAATCTAGAAATCTTGGGCCATTGGATTTGTTTCGTTGAGCCGCTCGATTCAAATATGAGCTTGCTAAATTTTGGAGATTGTTTTGTCACCATTCAATTAATGTCCTGAAATTTTCAATTATGCTTCAGACCCTTGATTTCGGCTCATGCAGGCTTGGATTGGATCATTGTTGATATCCTTGGATTTATCTTATTGAGATATTTAATTCGACTATAAGTTTGCCTAAATTAAAATTCAAATGGTCCTGAATTTAATTTTGAAAATTTTCAATTTAAATATGCATCAAAATTCGAGTCCAATCAAAATAATTTTTGATGATGTATCAATAATTTATTTCTTGTAACTAGTATCTTCAAATGCAAATTATACGCATAAAAAAAATATTCATGAAATGTGGGCATAGAATAGAAAAAGTGCAATATTATACTTCTAAAAATTATAAAATATGTATTTTTCATGTTGACAAGTTATCTTTTTTAAATAATTGCTATGAATGCATACTGTACATACATTAAAATATGTATTTTCATGACTTCGATAAGTTGTCTTCTTAAATAATTCCTATGAATGCATATTGTATATGCCCTGCGTGCTACATTCTGACCACAATTTTGTATCCTTTTTCCCTATTTCTAAGTGTTTCTTACATCTATATGTCTATATAGCTCCTGCAAGCAGTGAATTCTTTCCTGATTTATTGATTTTCTTTGCAGGGTATGTCCTGTTTGTCGAGGAAATGTTTGCAGATGAGAATTGTCCTCAACCTCCACGAAGAGCAAATTAATGCCGGATTTAAGCTTTTTCAATGCAGTAAGATTCCAACCTTAAATTGCACAAACTCGAATTATTAATTTGTTTTTCGGATGTTATGTTGAAGCAACAGTTGCTAACTTGCCTATTTGTCTGTGATATGTTGTCTTACGTACAAGCGTGCATTCTTTGTTTCGTTGATCTTCTGGACAAAAGAAGAAAAAAAATTGTGATTTTCCTCCAATAAACCTCTCCTGTTTTCTTTGGAAGATATGAGATCCTCAATTAGAAGGCCATTTCAGTTGAGAGATTATTACATGCAGAGATCGAACATAGAGAATTATTTGATTTTGTCTTTGTGAACAGTAGTGCTGAGTAGTAAAAGCATAGTGAAACAGTTCAGTATGCTTTTACTGTTCATATAGGCAAATCAGATGGTTCTTTGTATCCGATTTTCGCACGTAATAATTTCTCCTTTCAGTTGCTCCCTATCAAAGAAAAAAAAAAGATTTCTTGATGTGCATTTAGATGAAGGTTTTGTTTGGGATAATTTTTCACTATTTTTTAAAACAATTTTCTATTATAAAAATTTAATTTTGTACTAAAAATTTATTTTAAGAAACAGTAAAAAATTCATCCCAACGAAGCCAAAGTTCTTAGAACTTTTGTTGAAATCGGTTCTCTATACATTATCCTGAACTGCATTAATTTTAACACAAATTAAAGCGGCTGTGAAACTCTTTCTAATGTAGGTTGGATAAGAATATTCTGATACTTTGTTTTTCTTTTGTTCATAATCCAACAAGATACAAAAATCTCATAGAGCTTTCTGAGCTAATTCTGATTCAGAATCATCCGAAACTGAAGCTTAAGAGGGGATCACCAGTCTATACTTAACTGCTAAAAAACAGCTCAGATGACATGGATGAGGATCAGGTATATGACTTCATCAGGGATTTTGCTTCTTTTTTTTAAGGGGCTTAAATGTGATTGAAATGCTAAAAGTTTGTTGATAAAACTTAAGCTTTGTTTGGGATGGTTTTTTTATTGTTTGTTAAAGTAATTTTTTAGTATAAAAATTTTAATTTTTAAATTAGAAAGTTATTTTAAAAAGCAATAAAAAAGCTATCTCAAACGAAGCCTTAGACTTCATTTGGGATGACCTTCTTATTGCTTCTTAAATTTGAAGCTTTAGCTCGGCTTAGGATAGTAAATTAACCCCTTTTTAGCGTAAAAAAAAATTTTAATTGAATTTTTTTTTTGCTAACAAATAATTTTTTTTGGGGACATTTAGGTTAATTAAGGTAGACTTATACACATATCATATAAATAAGAATCGGATCTATTTAATTGGTAGCCTCAATGGACCAAGGTGAATTGTGTATTAAAAAATAATTTTAGAAAATAATAAGAAAATTATCCAAAGTGGAGCTTTAATCCATAATTATTCTTGAACTTTCTTCATCTATAATAATTAGTCTCGCCATATTTTTTTAAATGAATCAAATTATTTGGTATAAATTTTTTTCTAACTGAAAAAATAAATTGCAAAATACTAAATAAATTTAATAAATCCTTTCTATTTATAGAGCTATGTTAGTTTTTTTTTCTCTACTCTTTTAATTATCATTAAATATTACAATTCAGAAATGAAATTCCAATCGGTAGTTTTATTTTGTTAAATTTTTAATAATTTGTTTATTTTGTATTCATTAAACGAATTTGACAGTTAATTATTTCCTCTTAGAGAGATGTCTTTGTCTTTGTGGTTCATCTTTCAAGCTTGTTGACATTCTCCCTTAAGGTTGATTTATTCAAACATTTATAAAAATTGGCAGTGGTTGCATCTTTGTTGGTTTTCAAAATTGCACTAAGGTCAAAGTCATTTACATGAATGCATAATAAAATAAATCATGAATTTGGCATTTAATCATAAGAAAATAATTTATGTTACAATGTTATAATAATAGTTTTATCATGATAATTGTTAAAAGCATAGCTACTGAAAAAGTTGATTTATGCCTTATCTATAACTTTTCCAATCAAAAAAGAGAAATCAATGGGTAATATTGAATTTAGTCAAGGCATTTTTTTTTATTAAATTTACGTATAAATCTTAAAATTGTTTATTTATTTATTCCCTTGTCAATTAGTTTCAAAATTATATTAATTTATTTTATTTTATAAAAAAAATATAAAACTCCAAATCACCATGCCTTTGGGATGCCATGGTCATCCAACATAGGGTTTGCTGATGATGGTACTCCAGTGGAGCTCTAAAAATTTTCAAGCCTAAGAACTCTCTTTCCTCTCTAGCCAAAGGTGTAAGCTCTCCTTTTGTATGGATAGTTGGGGTTTATTTATAAATTTTTGAGAGTGTCATATCCCATAAATATAAAAAAAAATCTGAAGCAAATATAAAACATTTCATTGAATGATCTGTATTAATTATTTTATTGAGTGTTCGATATTCGCAGTTGAAGTTAGTATCACATAAGTTATTAATATTTATTATTCAACAATGTGGAAATAAGATTTTTTTATTTAGGTATCATATGTTTTATTCAAATATAAAATTTTGCTAAATATAAAAACATTTTAATGAAATAAAATTTATTTTTCTCAAATATAAAACTATCACCTCAACACGTTATCAGAAATCGATATGATCAAGCATGAATCCTGATATAATGTTTGATTTAGAAACTTTCGGAATTAATTTAGGATATCTTATGCTTTGATTTCAGCAAATTTATAGTTGAACCTAATATTTTTTGATGAGATGAGTCTAATGATGCAAAATGTACTTTTGTTTGAGTCCAAATGAGTCAAAATCAAGCACTTGAAGTATAGTGATCAACTTTGGGATATAAATTGATTGATTTAATGATAGCTAAACCTTGCATGTGTACGATCAAAATGAATGACTTGTTGACTTGTTCACCAAACTATGATCTCATGACCATTGTTGTCTTAATGCGATTACTCAAACATTGTTATCTAACCATGATTTCTTGATCTCCGTCATTTTTTTTATCTTCTCTATTGAGTTTGTTGCTAACAATATCCATACGTGTTATGGCCTATAAAATTGATACATGAACATTGACAACTTTACTGTCCACTCGCTAATATTGTCGAGGCATGCAATCACATATAAGACCAGTGCATGCCATCGACAAAAATGCCAACACTCGCCAACTTTATTGTCCATTTTCTCCCATCATGCTAACAACACCAACATACATCCACTATATATAGAGCTGATGCATGCTATCAATACAAACTCCACTCATCAACCTCAACCCCAATCCTTGCCATCAAGTTCAGCGGATGTCATTCCCTATAAGGGATATGCATGCCATTGACACAAAATGCTAATGTCTGTTATTTTCGTCGTCTGATCATTGCCAACAACATTGGCACATATTATCACCTATAAGGTTGATGCACTAACACAAACGTCGATTCTTGCTGACTTCTCGTTGCAAAAAATGTTGACGCGCATCATGCCAATATGACCAATGCACTATATATACACCAACTATAACTCATGATATCAATACCGTTATTTACACTTGATTTTTTTGGTCTATTTTCGTAAAACTAGAAATATTAAACAATATGTTAAAGAAAACTTTGAAGGCCTCAATCCTTCTCCAACTTTTACCATTGGATCCATCATCTTCAATTTATTCCTACTACATTATATTAACCTTCATCAATTAAATTGAAGGCCATCATTTGAAACCTCCTACATACACAAGTAAAATCATTTCCACTAAATCAAACCTATGATTTTCACCCTTTGCTAATTTTTATGTAAAAAACTTTGATGTATATTGCAACCTTCATTTATCATTGTGCAAGCTAATGCCTATGATGCACAAATACGAACACGACAACATGGACATAAAACATGTCAATTATTAAAAAATATAGGACACAAACATGAATTTGACATGGGATTATAACTTTTATATCTTTAAAATAGTGTATAGAAATTGAGTAAATAGAAGAATATTAAAAATGATTGAAAATTAATAAATCATTTAACTAAGAGTCAAGAGTTCGGTGTCGATGTCAAGTTTCAAGTGTCAAAAGGGGAGTCGACAATGCTATCAAGAGTCGGGCATTGAGCGTCGATGTCGAGACAACATCGATTGTGTATGTTGAGGTGATGTTGGTCAAAGATGAGATGTCAATACAGCATGAAGCCATGATTGAGGGGGGGGGGGCGGGGGTAAGAAATATATATATATATTTAATGGACGACCGATATTGAATCACTTATTTACATATATTCTCTTCTCCTTCTTCTCTTCCTTCGGCCCCCCTTCACAAGATAAATGAGGGGTCTATTTATAGATTTCTTGAGTGACATGACCTGTAAATAGGTGAGAGATCAGGGGCGAATCGGTACTGGTTTGAATGGACGACCGATATTGAATCCCTTGATCGTGGACCGTTCATCAGACATTTGAAGGTCTTAATGATGTCAGAATTTGGCGATCTTGGACTCGTTGGATTCTTCTCGTCGAGCCGCTCGATTCGACTATAAGCACGTCATGTTTGAAAACCGTTTGATAACTCAATTTGTGGTTTGAACCTTCCAACAGCACTTCAGGTCCTTGATTTGGACTCATTTGGGCTCAAATTGAGTCGATTTTGGTGTCGTTGGGTTCGTATTTCCGAGACGATCAGTTCGACAATAAGTTTGCTGAAATCGGAGTTCATATGATCCCAGAATTAATTTTTGAAGTTTCTAGCTTGATTTTTCCTTAAGATTCGTGCCCGATCAAGATAATTTATGATGACGTATCAGTAAACTTGAATTTATTATGCAGCTGAGCCTAATCTCATGATTGACAGCTTCCGTTCTCACTACAAAGATATTGGATTTAATTAGTTTTATGAGTATGAATATAGGCATCAGTTAGTGCTCAAATTCGCTCATAGCCTTAAAAAAATACAACTAATAATTTAATTTAATATAAAATTTGCTCAATAATCACTTATATTTAATGCAGTCCACACCTATTTACTTTGGCTGACTAATGACCCACTTGAGATCAGTTCAATTCAACTACAAATTGATCTGATATATATATGAATATATAATAATATCCTTATATGCTTATACAATAGAAAAATATGTCTATAATTGATATTAATTATACATATTGTTATGTGATAGAAAATTTACGGTAATAAAAATGGTGTTTAATATCTTAGTTTTCGACATTTTGGAATGCACATTTTGATATATTTGGACCAAAATTCAAAACAATCCATCATATCGTTCATATTAATTCACTTGATCATAGGTCATTTTATTAAATATTTGAATTCCTTAAAGATGTTAGAATTAAGTGATATTAAGCTCGTTAGATTTGTCTTGTCGAGCCACTCAATTTGACTATAAGCATGGTATAATTGCAGATCATTTGGTCCATCAATGAATGTTCATAAGTTTTCAAACAAAATTTAAGAGTTTGATTTGGGTTTAAAGGAAAAATTATTCTGTGCGGACGCCAAACGCCGTCCGGAGACCAGCTAAACTGTGTCATGTCACCCATTCGCTCGGTACCGCGGCTCGGTACCACTGTTGTGGCTGCACCTGATTCATCTCGGGACGTAGAGCTATGTTCGGTGTCCGCATAGAATAATTTATCCACTTTAAGATGAATCGAATCATTTATAGTGTCGTAAATTCATCTCATTGTAACATTTGATTTGACTATAAATTTATTGAAATCAAAGTTTAAAGATTATATCGAGATTCATGCACATCATATGCATTTTCTGAACTTATATCACATTACAAATATTTACATTTAACACCCATCAAAAGGTAAACTTTATATTTTACAAAATAAAAAAGCCCGTTTAATTAAATTTAAATATAATTTAAATAATAATAAATAAAAAAAAAATTATTTTGAAGATCAGTACCAATGCCAAATTCCATTATTGCCATTATCTTATACAGCTAAGAACCGGTGGTTGTCTGAAAAATTATGAATAAAAAACGAGATTTTAAGCCTATTGGTATCTAACCTCTCTGGCTAAAAGCGACATCCGATGCTTGCTTACAGCTGTATCCAATATTCCAATATTTCCAATTTTCCCACCATTTTTAACGTTTACTCTTTCGCTCCTCGGGATATACATATTGCGAGTTTCCGCTACACTCTGAACTCTCTACCTTTTCCCGAGGAAAGATTGAACTGCCTTCCTCTTCCGTTTCTTTGATGTTGATTAGCGTTGAAAGGCTCTGCTGATAGCATCGATAAACGGAATCTGGAGGCGGAGCAGTATAGTTTTTTTTTTTTGGTTTTCGGAGTATTTTGATTGTGGATTGAGAGTGGACTGTTGAGATTTGAGTTCTGGGGATTGTCTGGATTCTTTGGGGAAGAAGACAGCGAAGAGGGTTTTTGAGAGGGTTCGGGTATATTCTTTGCATTTCTCTTGGTAGAGCAGTTGGGAAGGGGAAGAAAATAATTAAGCAAAAGTTATGTTTTTGCTCTTCTTTAAGTTTAGGGATTTGAGCTAGGTTTTGTCGGAACCTAGGATATCCATGTACGGAAGGAAGAAGAAGACGAGGGAAGATAGATCTTCTGTTTTTTTATTTGTATAGGTCTTCAAAGTGTTTGCTTCTTTGAAGAATCTCAGCGCCCGGTCCGGTTCGAAGGATTTGGACTCTTCGAAAAGCTGCGGGGAGGTCGTCCCCAAAAGTGAAGCAGGAAAAGAGCAAACCTAAAGAAAGTCGGAAATAAAAAGGCATGCTTCCAAATTCCAGCTCTTTCTCTATCTGTAGGCATATGCGTTGCTCTTTTTTTAATTTATGCTTTTTGAATATTCTGTTTTGCTCAAAGGAATTGAATTTGAGGGAATGCAAATGCATTTTCTTCATATTTTCATATTAGGCCTTATTTTTTTATTTAAACGCAAGCACTAGGAAAATTTGATTCACCTGAGAAATGTTAACATATGCATTTGTCGATCATTAATTTCTCACTCAACTTTAGTAAAAAATGGAAAGAAAAATTTATTGGGGATTTGCATACTATCACATAATTTTAATTTATTTATATATCTAACACCTAAACTTTACTATTTATTTTCCAATCATTTGATGTATCAATTACACAAAAATATATTAACGAAAAAAGTATATTTAACTTTTAGAAAGCTCATATTAATGATATTGTTGATGGAATTTAAAGATTTGAGTGTTATATAAAAATATATCAAAGTTTACGTGTTAGATATATAAAGACTTAAGAATTGTGTGGTATGTATTAAATCTCCCAAAATTTATTAGGAATTCTATATTTTAAATGTAAGATTTAGTTCTTTTTTGCCATTTTTTATTCTCCTAGATGTCTTTTAGGACTCAGTATATGCTCGTATGTCTACCCGGACGTTCATTCCTTACTCACTTTGAACTGCTCACTTTGGATTAGAGAACTCATCGGCCCACCAATTTCTGTTTGGTTTATCCCCAAACTACACTTCATGTTTTATGAGAAGTGTTATAACAAATAAATTCACATTTAATAGATTAAGTAGAGAGTTTATGATATCATAGTCTGGTGGATGAACAAAATAAACACAACTAAATATATACATATAATGGTAGTTGCGGTACACTTGAATGAGATGATAATAAAGAGAGTCAAACTTCAAGACATATTATGTATTAATTAAATAGGTTGTTGTACCCATACATTAGGTGAAACATAAGATTCTAGCATCAAAGTTTGAACAAAATCTAACATGCGGCAATTCTTATGTTCAACAATATTATTATTTTTAGGTGTATGGGAACTTTATCATTAAGAAATAATTTCCTTATTCAAAGAAATTCATAAAATTCAAGTGTCATATATTTTCCCTCATAATTAGACCTTACCACTTTAATGCTAGACGAGAATTGATTTTCAACAAAGCTTACACGTTTTTGAAAGATGGTTCATACATCATATTCTTAATGAAGAATATATATATATATATATATATATATATGCCGTGCTCATCAATGAATTTCACAAACTATTTATAATTTGTATGCAAAGTAATGCCCTATGCGGCACTATAAGTTGAGTCAAAATAATTTTTGGCATTATCATCGGATGAAAAAGGAAGAATTTTACCTTTCCCGATTTTAAATATTGAGCCATCAAAAGAAAGAGGAGAAGATAATTGCTCTTTATTAACTACCAAATTAGAGTTCATTAAATGAGATGAAATAATATAATTGGAATGACCTAAATTTTTGTTCCATAGATTGACATTTTGATATGCAATGTAAGAGAACGAGACAACCTCATAAGCAAAAGGATAAAAGAGAAATAATCATTCAACTAAAGCATTTTTTTCATCACCTGGCCCTGCACAATGCAACCATCATGAGAAAATCAAATATCCTAGTTATTCTCAATTATTTTTCCTATTTAGATAAGATTAGTTGAAATTTTAGGAGATTGAGGACATTTCACAAAAGAGTTAATATACCCAATATCATTAGTAGATAATTTACTAGAGGGTAATCCATGATAGGATCTAATAGTGGAAAGAAGATGCAAGGAGCTAGTCATATGATTGGATGCACCAAAGTTCACAATCCAAGATGAAGGAGGTAGAGCTATTGTACCTTGTAGCCCTAAGGCTAGTAGAGCTCTGATAATCATTTGTTGAGCCATTTTAGGAGTATGATCTAATGTACCCATAGTTGCTAAACTAATAACAATAATTTATTTAGCATTTGATTAACAAATGAGGATGAGCACAAAATTCCTTGATAATATGCCCTGGCTTAAAATAGATGCAAAATTTCATTACACAGTGGATAGCAAAATGTCTATCATCCTCACAAATTGAGCATTGTATCTGTTGTATATCTCTTTGTTTTTTGTCGTGCATTTTATGTTGCTAAAAGATAGTTTGGGTATCAAAATGTTACTTTACGATGTAATTCTCTAAAGCACACATTCAAATGAGAAGGGCATAGCTCGTCAAATTGGGTCAGGCTGCCTCAAATTAAAAAATTAATCTTTTTTTTTGTATCTCTTGAACAATTGAAAGAGATTTAGTGGGCACCTTAGCATAAATTTTGTTAACAAATTCAGCTCATAAATTCTAAAATACAAAAAAATAATCTTGGATCAAGAGATCTCTTTGAGTGTAACTAACAATCTCATATTCTAATGTCCAAAATTTGATTACATTGTTTGATTATAAATTTTTTGTAAATATGCTCACATATTTTTAGTTGTCTTGGATGACCTTTTATTGGGGATAACTGCTTGATCAATGAATCCTAATATCCACGCCATGAGTCGTGTATCCTTGATTTGTCATTGAGCTATTTTTGAAAATTTAATAGGAGTTGGATCACACCTGTCAACATGTCGTCATACCACTTTTCCTATAACAAATAATTAAAATTTATATTCCCAAGTAGATAGCTTTTATCTATGAGATGTACACTGAACAAGTCAAATTACTTGTTGATATGGTGAACAAAATACCCTCTAAGTATTCACCAAGCGAGTTTTGAGAAAAAATAAATCAATTAGGTTTGTCTTATATCATTTGATTTAGTGAGTTTCTGAGCCTGGAGATTTTCTAGTTAAGAGATTGATTATTTAAAGAGATATTGGATGCTCAAGCCTAGAGATGGATGCGATGATTTTAAAAAAAAATTAAGTTTTTGAGTATACTTAGTGGATCAGGTTGAGACAAGACTGCAACAGATCGTCACTTTCAAAAGGAGGATGGAAGCCTTCGAATTGCCATTGTAGAGGATCGATGGAGATGAAACACTAGAGTGGCTTGCTTTCAAATCACTTTTGTACGAGATCAGTAGGGAATAAAACATTCTCATATGAGATATAAGGAGATGAAATGCTCTCGGATGAGCACTTGGGATGAGAGACATGATGCTTAAGCGTCGTAAATGGGAGATGAAGTTAAAGGCTTAGATTATGGATTTTTATACTATGACAGGCAAAATCATATTAGATTTTTGTTTAGCTTATGATTTTTTAATTGCTGATACTCTTTTTAAGAAAAGGAATGAGCATCTCATCACTTATAAAAATGGATATAGTACAACTCAGATTGATTATTTTCTTATAAGAAAATTCGATCGTTTAGATTGCAAAGATTGTGAAGTTATTCAAAGTGAAAATTTATGTTCCCAACATTGATTATTAGTTTTGGACTTTAAGATAAAGGGACAGAAAATAAAAAATAAAGTAAAACGGTATTCTAGGATTAGATGGGGGCATTTAAAGAATATTAACAAAAATATTTTTGATAGTAAGATTTTAGATCTTAAGATTTTGTATGTGCATGAGGATGCTAATGTTATGTGGGAAAAAGTGGCTAGTGATATTAAGAGTATTACAAAAGATGAGCTTGGAGTATCAAAGGGAAAAGCTCCTAATAGTAAAAATAGTTGGTGGTGGAATTCAAATGTGCAAGAAAAGATTAAAAATAAGAAGATTTGTTATTAAAATTGGTTTAATTTTAAAAATTCTGATAATTGGAAAAGATATAATGAGGCTCATAAGGAATCTAAGAAAGCAATATGCGATGCAAAGACCTTAGCTTTTAGTGTTTTATATAATAGATTAGATACTGGGGAGGGTGAAAGATATATGTATAAGTTAGCCAAACAAAGAGATATTAGTAGTAAGGATTTAGTTCAAGTGAAGTGTATTAAGGATGAAGATCAAAAAATATTTTTCTTAGAAGATGATATTCAACAAAGGTGGATAAGATATTTTGTTAAACTTTTTAATGAAGATTGCGAAAAAAAGATTGATTGTAGTGACTTTAGCACCCTAAATAAAAATAAAGATTTCTGTTTTTATCAGCGATTAGTAAAACCGAAGTTAGAGAGGCTTTAAAGAAAATGAAGGGTGGAAAAGTTGTTGACCTGATGATATTCCAATAGAGGTGTGGAAATGCTTAGGAGATGAACGAATTTCTTGGCTTACTAAAATTTTTAATACTATTTTGAAGAATAAAAATATGTCAGATAAGTGGAGAATGAGTGTGTTAATTCCTATTTTTAAGAATAAAGGTGATGCACAAGATTGTGCAAATTATAGAGGAATTAAGTTAATGTGTCATACTTTAAAACTATGGGAGTGAGTTATGGAACATAGGTTGTGGCGTGATACTAATGTTTCTCAAAACCAAATTTGATTCATGCCGGGTAGGTCGACTATGGAAGCCATACATTTATTAAGAGGTTTGATGGAAAAATATAGAGGAAATAAGGAAGATCTACATATGATATTTATTGATTTAGAAAAAACATATGATAAAGTTCCAAGAGAAGTGCTATGGAGAGTTCTTGAAAAGAAAGGAGTCAATAATGCTTATATTAAAATCATTAAAGATATGTATGCAGGAGCTATTACTTGTGTTCAAACACAAGGTGGTTTGACCAAGTATTTCCCTATTTCGGTTGGGTTACATCAAGGATCAGCCTTAAGCCCATATCTATTTGCTTTAGTCATGGATGTTCTCACTAGACATTTGCAAGAGGATGTACCTTGGTGTATGCTTTTTGCAGATGATATTCTTCTTGTTGATAAGACTAAAGAGGGAGTTGAAAGTAAACTTGAATTATGGAGGTCAACATTAGAGACTAAAGATTTTCGCTTGAGTAGATCGATGACCCAGTTAGGAGAGTAGAGGTATTAGATCTGACTTATGTTAAGAAGGGTAGAGGAAAACCTAAAAAGACTTGGTTAGAAAAT